TCTAAAAAAACATACTTAAATATATTATTTTTTCATCAATAAAGTTGATACATCCTATTAAAATAAGTTTATATTAGGCTATATAAAGGGACTTGAACTTAACATACAATTTAATTGATCAAAATGATAATAACAACTTAGAAGAAAATAACTAAATATTTATTTAGTAATTGATAATAAAATAATTAGTTACTAAGGAATAGTGTTTAATAAAATAAAAATAATATGAATATTAAATTGTTTATTAAGATTAAATAAAATAGAAGATTCAATATGAGAGTTTAGGAAATACTTAGAAGTTATATGGGGGCAAGATAATTCAATTTTTATACAACGAGAGAAATAATATATAATGTTTAATGGGATAAAAAGTTGGTGGGGCACTAGCCCCCATAAACTTGTATGTGCATCCTCCACCAATGACTTCTTCCAACATATTTTTAAATTTTCATGTAATTTTTTTTTTTAATTCTTAATAATCAAGATTTATCATTATTTCTAAAGAATTTCAAATGATTTAAGATATAAACTAACTCTCCCGTGCGGAATTATGATCGAATTGAAATATAAAAGTTACTGGCATTTATGTATAAATGGGTTGAGAATGAAAAATATCTTCTGCATTAGGGTAGAAAATTAGCATTAAGATTTTTATCAAATTTGCATTAATAGATTTGGTGTGGATAATGGCATTTATGGATAAATGGGTGGAGAGTGAAAAAAATCTTCTACATTAGGGTAGAAAATTAGCATTAAGCTTTATATCAAATTTGAATTAATAGATTTGGTGTCAATTTATCGTGGTCATCCTTTAAAACTTATTTTGTTAGGTTTAAAAGCAAAGCGAGTGCTATCCGACTTTTAGGGTTTCATTTCTTCAAAATCTCACTTCGTTCTAATGGAGAATACAGCACCCATTGATAGGATCAGCAACTTACAGGATGAGATACTCCTTCACATCCTCTCATTTCTTCCAACCTTTCTCCACCACCGTTCTATCAAAGAGGTGGACTCCACTCGGCAAATTACTCACGGCTCTCCACTTCCACGACGAATCCGTTAAAGACAAAGATACTTTTTTCCATTTCTGTAGCTTCGTCGACGCAGTGATGTCCTCTGTAGAACTTATCAAAATGTTTCACCTCAGTTGTGATTCTAAATATTGGCGGCAACGGAGACGTTTCAGTATTTGCGGCATCCTCACCAACTGGATCCAAACTCTAAAACAGCATCCTCTAGAGAATCTCCACCTATATTCTAGTATTGTTAATTTCAATCACACAATCACTTTGCCACCAAATATTTTCACCTTTTCAACGCTTGTGGTTCTCAAACTCACGAAATTCCGTTTGGATGGTGACATATCCCTCGATCTTCCCTTGCTTAAGACCCTTCATTTGAATGATGTTTATTTGAAAAATCACGAGAATTTCAACAAGCTTCTCTATAGATGTCCCGTATTGGAAGATTTGATTGCTCATGTTTTGTACTTGAAACCAGAGGAGAATTTTACTGTTAACACGGGACCGTCAACAACCTTATCCAAGTCACAACTTTAATCGCATATTTCTTTGACAACACAACTCTTGTGTCGTTATGAAACCCAATACAACAATTTTATACCGTTAAAACACCATGATCAATAATTCAATATGATTGATCGACATGTCATGCTTCGCCATACTAATTTCAGATGTCAAAGCAAATGAACATGATTCGCTCAAAAGAATAATAATTATTACCTAAGCGCGTGGTACCTTTCCACATTTCGTATTTAACCTAAGTGCACCGTATCTTACGGTGTTCTACATTTACATAAGTGCATTGTAACTTACGGTGTTCCTTATTTACTCTACCTCTTATCAATATGTTCTTATGTGTGTGACCTTATAGGTTTTCGCAATATTGGCAATTATATTAAATCACGCATTTAACATAATAAACTGTGACCTGTATCTAACAACACATCACTACTACCCAAGTCACGAAAACGTCATGTGATCTAACAAAACCTTTTGTTATAATACTTGAGTGTATAATTTGTTAGAACACAGATTGGTGTTTAATATATCTTTATGTTTTGATGATAACACTAATGAAATTTTGTATTAAGAAAATATATACTCTAATTTTGTTCAAGTGTTTTTGTTTCAGATATTAAAATAAATATTCTTATGGAAGCAAAAATGCATCTGAACATTACTCTACGCAAAGCTCTAAAGCATCAGAAGCAAGTCATCAGACGACTCTGAAGCAGAAGATGCAAAAGACTCTGAAGCGTAGTTGAAGAATTTGTAAGAGTTTCAAGCATTGTTACAAGAAGACTCTGAATGTACTTTTCGCTGCAAGTACAGAGGCTTTGTTATTCAAACTCTGCTCTGATTGATATTCACGCTGAAGCACATTGGCTGCAAAACTCTGATAACATCAAGACTCTGATGTTGATAACTTTGAGACAGAAGCTTGTTGAAGAAGATATTATTCAAAGATATATCCGTTGGCGTATTCCAAACGACTCTTTTCTTATTCATGTATGGCACAGGAAATCAGACAAAAGGGATTTGTCTGAACATTTCTCTTCTGGGAAAGCTAAAGTCAATAGAAGAAAAAAATGCTACAACTATTCTGCTACACACAGTCTTCAAGCATTAGACTTTCTGCTCTATAAAAGGATGTCTTCAACAACATTTCAAAGATGACGAATTCACGTATTATTGAGAAATCAAATTGAAAACTACTCTCGAGCTCTCATACAATTTATTTCATAAACTGAATAGTTTTATTCGTTCTTAATCTAAGTGTAAAAATCACAGTTGTGATATAGCTTTTTAGAAGTATCTTAAACACTTGTTAGTTTACATTTATTTGTAAAAGGTTCCTTAAGAAGACCAAGTTGTGGTCAGGATTTCTTGAGAAGACTAAGCCAGTTGTTCTTAGTGTTTGACACTGTAATCTGTTTGAATATAGTGAATTAAGTCCTTGTTGAGAAAGACAAATCACCTTGGTAGGGTAGACTGGATTAGTTGAGTTCAACGAACCAGGATAAAAATACTGTGTTGTTTTTATTACCATAATTATTTCAAAACCCTTATTCAACACCACCCCCCTCTAAGTGTTTTTCTCACCTTCACAATTACCCTTTTGCCCTTATGTCTATATTGAACACAAGACATATATTGTGTCATCCTTGTCCAGTTCAATATTGAGTCCTTAGACATTTATCCTGTCACACAGGATGGACAAATTCCATCTAGGTTACTCATGTCCCTCAACATGTTTTGTGAAGTACCCATCAATTGTCATTATGGTCATCTAGTTATGGATAATGTTTGATCTGTAATAAAGTACTTGACTCTACATCCAGGGTCCACAGTAGTTTCAGGTCGAAGGGTGGTACACTCCACTATCACAATGAGAGTAACTTATGACACTTTGCGTAACATTATATGTAGCACTCTCATAGCGGGTCAATCCAGTATAAATATTACTCCTAATATTCATACCTAGGTTAAGACTTGATAACTCTTTATCCACGATTTATGAAATGTGATCATTAGTCTATCTACATAATAGTTTTAATGCTTCAAGGTTATCCAACTTCACAGTAAAGCTCGACTATGGATACTTTAAGTATAAAGTTCTTATGTTTAATGGGATCTCATGATTAAGTCATATTTAATATTTCATTAAACGAACTAACTCTTCTATGGAATTTATTATTTTGGAAAAACAAACATAATAAATAAATGTCTTTTATATTAATAAATAACTCAATACAAGTAACAAAAGTATTGGCATCTAGGGCTTACACCAATATAATATACAAGTTAAAAAAATACATGTTTGTAATATATGAAAATATAACATTAAAAAAAAATTTAATCATAATTATTTATTTCAACTGTTGTTATAGATAGAGCCCAAAATATTATAAACCGTTTCAAACCCATAATCTTTTGCTTTATATCACAACAATTATATCCTTTGATCGTTGTGATATATAGTGCGCTACCTAGTTTATAACAACGGTCCTACACCTGTGGTGGCTACCTAGTTTATAACAACGGTCCTACACCTGTGGTGGAAAGCATCATACGTACAATCATACATTATCTCACAATGGTTGGTCGGACATGACTGTATCCCTTTTTTAATGTTATGATAGATGTTTTACGTAGTAGAACAATAAGTCAAAAACCATGAATTTTATCATCAAAAATAAGATTCATTAATTGTCGACAATTGATTTAGAAGCAATCACACAAATGAGAGAGATACCACATATTAACCCAACATCTTAAATCATTGGATCTATGGATCTTTTAACTTTAAAAGTGTTCATCATTCATCTTTTAATCTAATATAAAACTCTCATACTCACACTTGATATACCAACACTGATGACACTTTTAAACCACCTGTTGGATCATAGAAAGAGTAATTTTACCAGCTGCATCTTGTTTAGGGTAATGGAGGATATCCCTCCTGTACGTCAAATATTGTCACTATAGACTAATAATTTCTTGAGCCTCTCTTAAAGAGAAATCCACTGGAGCAACCAATTACTTCAATGTTACTAAAAGAATAGGATACTATTTGTCATCTAAAAAAGAATCTAACCATTTCATATTAAAATTTTAATATTAAGAAAAAATTTATGAGGGGTGAGAAATGTCAATTCCAATTGAGCAAGCTCTAGTTTACAAACCGAAAGTCTACATAGTCAACAACTTAACTAACCCCTCATTAACTTCTTAACTGCAATTCAAGCAAACTCCCCTTTTCTAAGTCATATCATAACCTTAATCCAATGACCAAATATTCCGTAGCCTTGAGTTTCTACAATCTACTATTAGTCAAACAAGGACCATTAATCTTAGTTTTGATTATAAAGTGATGTTGTAAGCACTTTGTAAATGCCAAATACTGGGCAATAAAACATAATAAGAGAAGAAAAGACTAGGGTTAAAAAAAGTTTTGAGGAATTTTGTCCGGATATTCTAATAGGAACGACCAATTGAAATATTAATACTACATTTAGAAGAAATCTTTGGACACGAGATTAATTCTTCTAAAGCACCTTGGAGTTGTAGTGCATGAAATATGGTGATTTTCAGGACCTCTAAAAGTGGCGCATATTTTAAAATATACGTTGCTAATCGAAGATCCACGTCGAAGGCGTCAAACCTTAAAGTACATGATCGGAGGTGAGAAGAAATACAATTAGGAATCGTATTTGGGTATCTCCAGTTTTTGAATAAATCCATGTCTAGCAACTGCAAAACATATACTAAAATTAGATTTGTGAAACAACACCCAAAAAAAAGGAACATAAAGAAAACACAGAAAATAACCGTAGCAATAGTAAGAAATTGAAGTTTGGGGCAATTCTGGAGCAGCCCCATCAGATCTTCACAGTCTTCAGATGCGTGTCCGAACAATTCAAGGTGGATTAGGTTTTGAAAGCTTCTGCTATTGGAAATGAACACTTGCTCAGGAAGCTTTCTTCTATTCACCTACAATAATTCCATATAATATCAATATGAAATTTAATGTCAACTTCTCAATGTGACTGACAGCTTCATGCACATTTGATACTCATCATAATTTTAAATTGCAAAATTCTGAAAATTAATTTACTCATAATGTAATGAAAAATCTTAACATCAAGTGATATATTTCAAACCCTTCCCAATAAATATTTATGCCACAACGGCGGCAATATGCATAGCAATCAATCTCAATGACCGTAATTATAACACACGCACCCCATCCGCAATCGTGCAACCGGAATTTAAAAACATGTAAGTGATTCCCTATAATTTCATATAAAATATGTAACTTACCCAGATTTTTAAAATCTGGACATTATAAACTGCTGTAAAGGGAACATCAGATTCACGGATTTCGGCTCTGATCAACTTGGATAAAGACTTAAACTCTCCTGCTGAATGAACTGTAGAACTCTCATCTGGCGTGATATAGGAAATCTGAGTCATCAAATCTTCCAAAATGGGACACCCATAAAGAAACTTTTTGAAAGTCTCATGATCTTTGAAATAAACAACCTCCAAATGAAGGGTCTTAAGCGATGGAAGATCAACGGAGATATCACCACTCAAATAGAACATCTTCACTTTTAGAACCACAAGCTTTGGAAAGGTGAAAGTAGTTAGTGGCAAGGTGATTCCGTTAGTCAAATTAACTATAGAAGAATATAGGTAGAGATTTTCCAGAGGATGGCGTTTGGCAGTTTGGATAAAGTTGTTGAAACGGCCATGTTGTCGCCAGTGGATAGAATTACAATTGAGGTTAAGTGTTTTGATAAGTTCTGTGGAGAGCATGACGGTGTCAAGGAAGCTACGGAAGCGGAAGAAGGCATCTTCGTCGTGAAGGGATTCGTCGTCGAAGTGGAGAGCCGTGAGTAATTTGCTGAGTGCGGTCCACCTCTTGGAGAGGACGGTGGTGGAGAAAGCATGTTTGGTTGGGAGTAAGGAGAGAATGTGAAGGAGTAACTCATCCGGTAAGTTGCTGATCCAGTCAATAAGTGCTGCATTCTCCATTAGAGGGATTGAGATTGATTGAGATTGTGATGCGTTGCTGGTTAGAGAGAAAAGTCACATGACAATTTGGTACTATTATATGTTTAAAGGCGATTCGAAAATTAGGAGTGCAATTGCTTTGCCTTTTAAACCTAGATAGGGTAATTTTCTAATTTAATATATATTAAGAGCATCTTTACCGAAACTAAATTAAATGGGTAAACTAAGATACTTTTTGTGGGCTGAAAGTGATTTGTAGGATTTAAAATATTTATAGTTGATTTGAGTTGTTTTTACTCTAACGACGGTTGTTTGTAAAAAACCAAAACTTGATAGTGTTATTGGAGCTTTATTGATATTTTAATAATATAAAATAATAATTATAGTCATTAAAATTTGATAGTGTGCGTTGGTTATATAGTTGCCGAAAACTAATTGTTAGTTCAATGTGTCATATCATTTTTATTCCAATGCAAATTGCTCATAACTATCGTTACTATTAAAGAATTTAATACTACAGAACCTGCATTAAAGATGCTCTATAAAAAGGAAAATCTTATTTAATAGTTCAAATTTTGTAAATTTTCAATATAATTTACTCTATGAATAATTCTAACCAACTTTTTAAGATGGGTGATAAGAATTCACATTTATTATTGTTTTATGAATATACAAATTATGAAAGATTTATAAAACTATTATTTATTAGTTAAATAAATAAAAAATAAACGAATTAAAGAATTAAAATGAGAAGTCCAACTAAGAGAAAAACCTAATTCAAAGAACCTTTGAGAACAACAAAAGAGATCAGATAAAACAACACCAATGATCAGACACCTCTTCTTGCCATTCTAAGCATCATCCACTGTTAGATATTATGAGAAGACTTCATACGTCTCCCTTAGGATTGCACAACAGCGGTTATAATCGTATGTCACATATAAGCCTCGTCACGTGCCATCTACAAATATCATCTCCCTCTTACCTAAAATTTTATTTATCTCAGATTTTATTAATTTGGACATTAGAGTGTTACCTTACTTGCCCGTCGCGCTCAGTCGCTCTTAAAGCTCTCAAAGTCATGTTGTTGGGGGAGAATATGGGTGATAAAAGGTCTACAGAGGGGGATTCAATTAACTTTTCTTTAAAAAATTTGTTTCGAAATTATTTTCTCCAAAATCAGAGTTTTTCAAAAAATAGACAGCCGAAAATTTATTGTATATGCGTTAAATTGATATCAAGTGTTATATTTTTGGACAATAGAATGAAATATGAAATTATGAACAATATGTTGAATCAATGAATTAATCAATTTAAAAGAGGTGTCTAAATAGAATTTTATTTATCAATTAAATTAATCTATCATTGTTCAAATAAAAAAAACTCATATATCATTACAGTTACAAACAACTTTAATCACAAGAAAGGTTATCTGGATGACTTACTCACTATCAGATATACACTTTCCATAACAAATCGATATAAACAAAATAAACCTAACAACATGTGATTTCTATAAAAACAATAAAAACCTAAACATGTAGTTCTATACGAAAAAATAAAAAGAGATAAGAAAATAGAATATTACATTATAGTTTATACTGGTTTAGCATATTCATCCTCGCTTTCTGCCTAATCCAATCTCCAATGGCAAGCCAATGAAAATTTGTAGTCTTTTGCTATTTCGATAGTTATAGAACTTGTATTTTATACAATTAAAAAACCAGATATTGAAATTCAAAAACAAAATCAATAGCTTCTATGTGAATCTTTCTTTCTTCTGTTGTACACAACTCATGTAGCTGAAATCTCCAAGACCTTCACTCAGTCTTGATTGTCCTCTTACTCGCATCCAAGATCTTCAAGAATTCTTTTTGTAGCAATTTTTTCTCGATCCTACTAGTCCATTGTCTAAGCTCTTGGCTCATTCTAACGGGACATAGTCTCCTAATTTCGTTCTACAACTATCTTCTCTTGGAACTACCGAGGTCTTCGGTGGAGAAGAAATCTTTTTTTTTTATTTTTTTCTCATTCTAGATTATCAATTTCCTACAATATCACACAATTGTAATCTTGATTTACACTTCAAGTACTTTACAAACATCAATGATAAAAGAATCTCCTCTATGATAGATCTCATAGCAACTAATTGATAGTATCTTTATAGAGGTCGAAGATGAATACAAATTAAAAATAGTATTATGATTTAGTGTACTTCAAAAGTTAAACACGATGTTTTAAAAATTTCTCAAAGTTGTGATGTTTTGTGATTGCAAATGATACCTTTTAACAAATCAAAATTGAGAAACGAAGTTCTTGGGTGAACAATGAAAACGGTTAGAACAAAGAGAGAAAGAAGAAAAGGATAAAGAAGAAAGAAGAAGAAAAATTAGGGAAAATTGTTTAATATTCCCTTTTTAATAAGGGCTTACAAATAATTACAAATGAATATCACAATTGGCCTCACTTAACAACTAGAGCGATCTAGCCTATATATAGACTAACTAGATAACTTGAAACCTAAGCTATCTAAATAATTGGATCCATAACAAAAGTCTCAATTTGACAAACATTTCGAAAATACATATTAGAACAGACCTCTACTACAATATGTATCTTTCGACCACAACAAGCGACTCATCTTTGACTTTCTGCTTGTCTCCTATCAAAATACATGAAAGCTATTCCTCAACAAAGCTTGAGTTTGACCCAAAATGTCACAAATCACCACCTTGGATCTAACTCAATCAAATAGGGAATCAACTAGCTTCCATCATGCAGCTTTATCAACTGCATACATTGGAAAAACTTGCAACTGGGCAACGTCTTGGTGATCATATCAGCAACATTGTCTTCAGTCGAAACCTTCAGCACCTGGACTTCACCATGCTTAATTATCTCTCTGACAGAGTGTAGCCTCACATCAATATGCTTAGTTTACTCATGATAGGCTGAATTCTTCAACAGGTGTATTGCACTTTGACTATCACATTTAACAATGATATTTCGACCCTGAAGTTTCAGCTCCTTTGCAAAACCTTCAAGCTACAATGATTCTTTCACAACTTCAGTGAGGAAAATATATTCTGCTTCAATGGTTGATAAGGCAACAACCTTCTGAAGTGTTGCTTTCCAACTGATTGTTGTGTCAAACATAGTGAACACGTATCCAGAAATAGACTTTCTAGAATCCAGATGACCTGCATAATCATAGTCGACAAATCCTTCGATTTCAACTATGTTATCACTACCACAGGCTCCACCATAAATCAAGACTCTTTTCTGAAACCCATTTATGTACCTGAGAATCCATTTTACAGCTTTCCAGTGTGCCTTTCCAGGACTGGCCATATACCTGCTTACAAGGCTCACAACATACGCTATGTCTAGCCTCGTACATACCATAACATACATCAAAGAACCTACTACACTAGAATATGGAATGCTATTCATATAGATTCTTTCAGCTTCAGTACTTGGACTTTGAGTAGTATTAAGCTTAAACTGAGGATTTGTTGGAGTCACAACAGGCTTTGAATTCGACATGCCAAACTTAATGAGAAGCTTTCGTATGTATGTCTCTTGAGATAAGCACAACTTCGACTGCTTTCTATCTCTCCAGATGTCAATCACAAGAATCTTGGTGGCAGCTCCCAGATCCTTCATTTTGAACTCCTTGTTGAGTTCAGTCTTCACCTCCATTACATCCTCAAAACTGCTGCTACCTATAAAGATATCATCCACATAAAGCAATAGAATAACAAGTGAATTTCCAAGTCGAAATCTGAAGTACACACAGTGATTGAACTGGCTCTTAGTGAAACCAATGTGTGCCATGAACTTGTCAAATCTTTTATTCCATTGTCGAAGAGATTATTTCAAGACATACAAAGACCTATTCAGATTGAACACATAATCTTCCTTATCCTTTTCTGGACACCCTTCAGGTTGACGCATCAGGATCGTTTCGTCTAGGTCACCATACAAAAATGTTGTCTTCACATCCATTTCCTCAAGCTCAAAGTCAAACTTTCCCACCATGGCCAACAACATTCTGATGGATCTATGCTTTACAATAGGTGAGAACACATCATTGAATTCGACACCTTCTTTCTGAGTGAACCCCCTAGAAACTAATCTTTCCTTAAAGCGCTTCGATATCACTCCTCTGATTCCTTCCTTGACCTTGAAAATCCACTTACAACTTACTAACCTTGCTCCTGCAGGTTTCTCTATAAGCTCCCAAATGTTATTATCATGAAGAGATTTCATCTCGTCATCCATGGACTTTCGCCATTCACTCTTATTTCGATGCCTCATAGCTTCCTTGTAATATCTAGGTTCTTCCTCAAGTACCTCACATGCAGAGATTAAGTCAAAAGCTATAAGATCTACATAACCAAGTCTCTGAGGTGGCTTGATGAATCTTCTCGACCTATCACTTGGCAGTAGGTAGTCATCGACAGTTTCCTCAGGCTCTTCAGCATCTTGCTCTTCTTCTTTGACTTCATCTGGGTTATGCACTTCAGCATCACTATGCTCCACCTCAACAGGCATCTCTACCTGTTCCAGTCTTCTTCATAGATTTTTGTACTTCGACCAGCATCACCAATTTTCTTAAATGCCATCTCGACTTCATTGAAAAATACATCACGACTTGTGATGCATCTTCTGTGACCTGGTTCTAGGCACCAAAGCCTATAACCTTTGACTCCCTTAGGATATCCAAGGAACATGCATCTCAGAGCTCTAAGTTCGACCTTGTCTTGCCTAATGTGAGCATATGCTAAACAACCAAATACTCATAGTTTCTCGAGATCTGGTGGCTGGCCTGACCAAACTTCTCCAGGCGTCTTCATCCCCAACGCAGTCAAGGGACATCTATTTATCAGATAAACTATTGTCGAAACAGCCTCCACGCAAAACACCTTCTTCAATCTAGCACTAACCATCATGCATTTAACCCTTTCGAGGACCGTTCGACTGAATCTCTTAGCTAAGCCATTTTGTTGAGGAGTACC